CGGTTAGCTTAGGTGTTGATTCAATATTAAAAAATATATATCATCCCTAGCAACCCGGGACAAGGAAGCGAATAAGGGTTAGAAACATATTTTTAACCCTAAGATGCACCCCTTGTCCTGGGTTGCTAAGCATGAAATATTTTTTTACAATTGAATCACCACCTAAGGTTAAAGTGGTTCGAATATGAATCTGCTGAAACAAGCAAATTTTGAGATATTTCAAAAACTATGCTTTTAACCCTCACTTGCTCCCCTTTTCTTAAGTTGCTGGGAATGAAATATTTTTTTGAAATTGAATCACCACCTAAGCTAATCGTGATTTAAATATTAATCTGTTTGAATGAGCAAATTTTGAGATATTTTCAAAAATATGCTTTAAGCCCTAATTTGCTCCCCTTTTCCCGTGTTGCTGGGGATGAAATATTTTTAATTTTATTAAATTCAGACCTCAACACCTGAGTTTACCGTGATTTACTTATGAATCTGTTGAAATGAACAGATTCTGAGAGATCTCCAAAAATATGCACCCCTTGTCTTGGATTTCTGGGAATGATATATTTTTTTTTTAAATTGAATCAACACCTGAGCTTACCGTGGTTTAAATATGAATCTGTTGAAACGAGGAAATTTTGAGATATTGAAAAAAACAAAATAACATGACAAAAAAAACCTCTGGTATACCCCCTAATATAATTTTCTCAAAAACATGGGTTGTTTTTGGTGATATGTAACTGAAGAATATTAAAAACTACGTTAAATAAGGTAAAATACACATTTACTTCGATTAAAATATCACCCGAAGCTCCTGGGCGTTCGGGTATATTCGGAAAGTTTTGCTACTACTTTTTCCATCAACTTCACACCGGTAATAGAACATTGTAATAGACAGTTGAAGAATGTAAAAGAATATCTTGAACAAATTGGGAATATACAACACCACATACAGAATTTTCTGTATGTGGTGCAGTGCAATGCATTGGAGCTTTGGCGAAACACTTGTGTTTTCCAAAAAATCCTCTAATAACTTGAATACTTTTATTTCTAGAACTGTTGGACTAGCAAACCAACAGTGTCATATAGATTTCTTTGCACCATTCAGTATCTTCCCGAGTCAGGTTAATAGTAATATATTTGGATAAAATTTATGCCATAACAACTGCGGGTGATTTATCTTAGTTTAAATTAAATTAATTTATTAAACTCGATGATAACCAATATTATTCCTTATTGGACAATCATTAATCAGTTTCAACAGTTATTGTAATATGGCTAAAATCCTTTAGGTTCTTTTGTTAAATACTTTCATATTTATATGTAGGTATTCATAGTTTAACACTTTTTGTAATTGGGCTCTGCTCGTAGATAAATAAATAAATAAATAGGTAAACATATATTCAACATAGGTGATTTTTCTTCTTTATTTAAATGAATTGTTCTTAGTGGGAAAGGACAGGTTGAAGTTGGAATTTTTTGGGGTACCATCAAAATTGTTCAAATTGATATTTGTGAAATCTTCTGTTCAAAGTTCTTCTACAAGCAATGGTTCTGAAAAATCTAATGTGATGGGCTCACACTCACGGGTATTGGGTATTTAATACTGATGTTACAGGCTTGCCATTTTTTGCTTCTGTTAAGCATTCGGGTATTTCCCAGTTGTCTATTTTTTGGTATGGAATAATTATTTTGCCATTTTTAATTGATGTACGGATTTGAATTAATTGTTCACGTCTTGGGGAAATAGTTATACTTACAATTAAGTGCTGTTCGGATTTCGTGAAAAGGAAGTTCTATTTTAGTGTAGGGCGTATATCCTTTATGAATCACATTCGCCTGAAGCATTTTTAGGTTACTGATACCTATTAATCTCTCGAATACGTTATGGAAGAGATAAAATTTTAGATTCTTCTGTTTGGGAAATTGGGAAATTTTGGATGCCGGGTTCATTGCACTATATTGGTGTGCAGATTTTTGAGAGACTGCTATAAATGGATCATTTCGTAAGCAATTAAGAGAGCAGTTGAATGCTAAGCCAGAGTTGATGAATGATTTAGTTGATCCTGAATCTATAAGAAGTTTAATGTTATATTCTGGGAAAATTACATATTTTGATGATACTGACCTGAAAATGAGTGAATTTTTAGAGTGAGTTCCTCCCATCCAGTTCTGGAATTGTTCCAGAAAATTTCTCTCAATTCTATACAGAAGTTTGCTAGAATTTGCGCCGTTTTGACATATGACTTGTATCATACATCCACATGACAAAATTGCATCCTTAGAATGTAATGGAAATGTTCTTTTTTTAGGAAGAATGTGCCTAGAATATTCGCCGAAACCATTGCGAATGTCCTGAGAATGTTCTAAGAAAAGATTGTAGAAATACTTTTTGCAACACCCAAGAACTTCCTGGGAAATCCATTAGGATATACCTAGAATATACCTATGAGATTCTCAGTACATCCTGGAAAAAATATTTTTGTTTGATTCTAAAAATATGCTTAAAATGTATATTCTCACATTCAAAGAATGTTTCTATAACCCTATAGTTATGTTCTCAAGACATAACAATCATAACATTCTTGTTTGATTCTAGGGATATACTTGGAATTTTAATTTTCGCGTCCAACCAATAATGCTCCTTTTGCATTATAGGTAGTGAAAGAGTTGTTGGAAATTTTTTTGGAAAACACAAGTGTTCAACCAGAGCTCGATTTCAGCGCAATAGTAAGTACGCCAACTCAGAGAAACAGGTTTCAAGGAGATTCAGGGAAAGAAAGGTATAAATCTTTAATAGCGTGTGGCTCCCTCTTTTCGAAGTCCTACAAAGCAAAATAAAAAGAACATACCTATAATATTTTTAAAGAGTGTAGGTATTCGTGACTGGTCAGTTTTAAATTAGAAGGTATTTTCTGGGGTATCAGGATTGTTCTTGGAAATGGTTGAAATCTTTTCAAATAATAATTCAATCAATGAGAGATCAGACATAGATGATTCAAGTGTTATTTATCCAAATATTTTAACAATGGAACCTATAAATAACAGATATTTCACTTATAGTGAAAATGTATTACTTTTATAAATTATCAAAACATAAACTAACTTTTCTTTGGAATAATGTACAATTTTCTTAAAAGCATTTCCACCATTTCTTAAATCATTGTTATTTTTAAATTTCAAATCATACTCCTACCTGAAAGTATGACAAAAAAGTCAGATTGTAACAATTTATTTGAAACGTATGCCAAAATTTCTTGTAATTGATATTTTTTTAAATTAAAACACGTAGTATTCTTTCAATATTTATTTGAATTACGAAGAGCGAATCTTGATCTTGACGCCATCTAGGACCGATAATCAACACTACACGCAATTTTGCTGTGCTAAATGGTGAACGTCCAAAGGCCGACCAAAATTCAGTTCGTTTGGGTTTAACCCAAAAGTACCACTGTTTGAGAAAAGTTTTTTGGATTGATTTTCTCCGCTTTTCCATCCATAGACGCGTTTCGACCTATATCAGGTGTCATCAGTATGGCTAGGAAAAGCAAAGAAAACCAATCCAATTTTTCGCCTAAAGGCAAATGCAATGGATGGAAAAGCGGAGAAAATCAATCCAAAAAACTTTTCTCAAATATTTATTTGTATACATATTTTTCTCCTTTTTATGCAGCCCTGAAGAAGAAAATAAAAATTTTCGAAAGCTAGGCGTAGCACAAAAGGTTTGAGACTTTTATTTAGCCCTTAAACTGATACCCCAGAAAATACCTTATAGTTATAATATTTTTCGTAGGTTCTAAAATAGAACATTATTATTTAATTGTGCAGTTAAGATTTTTAAGTAGGTACCTACTCTAGATAATTAAGTGAACAATTCCAAATTATACCCAATACTACCGATACCGACGCAAAATTATCATTTCAATATTGTTTTTGTCAGAAATTGTTTTTTTTTATATAAAATGAAAATAGCAAATATTACTTTTTTGTAAAAAATTAGGGCGCTAAGTATCTGGTGGTACGTGTCCATATTGGTGCTTGATTTTGTGCATTTTTTTATGAATAATAAAATCAAAATGAACTTCTCAGCACAACTTGGTATATTCTCAATATTTGATATAGATATAAGCCGAAAGAACATTCTTTAGGGTACGTACATTATAATAATGTTCGTATGAGAATATTCAAATAATGTTAGGTACATAAAGTAGGTTTTTAGCACAATCTTTCAGGTAGGTGCATAGAAGCAACATTCCTAATACATAAATAGAAAGTCCAAAAATGAATATTTCAATCGAAACAATCTTAGAATATTAATTATACATTCTTAAAAGAACATTCCATAAAGCACTTTGAGGGAATAGTCTGGGAATATGAATGTTCTTTTACTGTTATGTGAGCAGTTTGGTATTCTGATGTCATTTCCTGAAAATCCTGTGATTTCTCGGTTTGTTGAAAGTTATTGGTATTGGGGTCATTGTGCTGAGGTCACAGATTTTGATATTCTTGTGTTTATTCATTCTGCATTTTGATCATAAAGGATAATAATTGCTATAGGTTAGGTCACCAAATTCTCTTATTTGAATCTGCGACCAAATTTTGTTGCAATGATATCCTGTATAGGATCAAACATTGACCATGTAAAAAAAAACTAGGTACTGCATGTTTGTATACTATGTTGCGCGCAATAGTAGAATTCGGGCAATGCCCGAAAAAAATACATAAATAGAAATAGTTTTGAGCAATATTTCCCATACCAGAAATTTTAATTTTATACGGTTATTGAGCATTACAAAATAAACAGAACTAGTAGAATTCGACTATTGAGCACAACATATATAAACGATATTTTACAGGTAGAAGTTCTATTTCTACTGCCCTCGTATTTTTTCAGCTACAATATTCTTTCAATTAACCCATACTACGACATGATGCGGCGTGGGTGACTATCGTCATATCGCCTCGTGCCTCGTGTTTCAGCCTCTATCGGCCTGCATTCCGCACCGAGACGCCAGTAGACGCCCGACGGCAGCGCTGCCAACGCCGTGACGTCAGAAAATACGCAATTATCGGGCCAATCATAAGTTTTATCAGCACAAATTCGTATCTACATGTTAGCAATTTTATCTGAAACTACTTTGGAAAAAATGTGACAAATGATACTAGTGATAGACACGTAATGCCGCTGACGGTCTCGCCATTGCTATAAAATGCTTACGTTATTGTTGCGGTAAAGTGACCTATTTGAATGTATTGGTAAAAAAATTGATGCGTCAATTGTTTATTAATTTCAATTGGAACACGTGCTACTATATCTGATTAATGGTCACATACGGGGGAGTCCTGTATAATAAATAAAATAATACTTAATTATACAAGTTTATTTCTCGACGTTATAACCCATAGGTACTTATACTACATTGCATTGAAATAAACAATTAAACAGAGAAGCAACTTTGTGTGACACTTGTTCACGCTGAATGTCTAGATTGAGCAGGTGTAAAGTCACTATTTGGGTTTTAATGTCACTTTAAGTTTACATTTACAACTTGGGAGGTTTGTCACATATTTTGGGCTCAAATTTCCTTTCATAATATATAACATTATTAATTTATGCACCTACTTATTTGTAGAAAAAAGAGTAAATTTATGTCTAGTGAATTGCAGTTACCACTCATGAATTTTATTTTTCAACCATTTGCAAAAAATACCTAATATATTTTATAGCCACGACTGTTTTAGGATATACTCCTAATAGGTTCTTGCCTTTCTTTCATTATACTAATTCTAATTGATCCCTATTACCTGTTAAAATCCTTTTTAAATTTCATTGAGTAGGTATGTTACAAAAGAGCGGTTGTCATGGAATGCCACAAATAAATAATTTTAGTTTCATAATTTACACAATTTCTTCAATAAAAAATGTATGCCGAAATAGCCAGTTGATTAAGTATAGTAATCTATTCGCAAAATAATAGACAATTATTTATGTACCTACTATGAATAGATGATTTGCGGCACTCACTTATTACGATTCATATCGTAAACTTTATTTTCGTGAATTATGGTCATGGTTATCATCATAAGCTCGTTTAATAATATCTACACTATCCAATAAATTTCGAGAAGAAACTAATCCTTTTTTAAATATCCAAGATTTTAGCTTTGTAAAACTGTGACATATTTCAGAAGATGGTAAGAAGACGCAATAACTAAACTACAAATAAGATAAAATAAGTACCTACCTACCACATATCAATATACAATTTTTTAACGAAAACATAAAAGTTTCTAGATTTCCATAATTTTTTCAAAATCGTTGGTATCATTTCCATTTTTTTAAAATTGTGGAATTCTAGAAACTTTTCTCATATCAATAAACTATCTCAAGCTGATAAAAAAATAATCCAAAAGTACCTAGATACCTGTAATAGATTATAATCTAAAAAAATTCAATAGTACACCTTAACTTTATTCATTTCCATACTCTCAAGATAATTAAATTTTTCTGATTCATTTTCTTCGTGCAGGCACAATTTTTATCTAAGGCAAAGTCACAAAGTTATGCTTCTGAATTTAGATGTAATGCATAATGGTAAAGATTATTACTTTTTAGAAAGCTGGATTCATGTTCTTTCATTCTTGTGTTGAAAGATTTCCGTTTGTCGAATGTAAACTTTTCCTTGGAGTATCTAATGACTCCTGATTTGGTAGTTTAGTCGATCTACATTTTTTGTTATTTTCAATTTGACTAACGGGTAAATTCTGTGTACATTTGTAAGCGAATCTATAACTTTCTATAACCCTATAGCTGCCTACATAGACAATTTGCAATTCTGCTTTTCCTGTAGCTTGCAGAAGATCTTAGAAAATCGTAAAGATTTCCGATCGGGTGTCTGGTAATCGATGCGTTTTGCAGTGTTTATAGGCTTTAGAAAGTTATAGATTTGCTTACAGATGTGCACAGAATTGACACATAAGTTATTATTGATTCTAAAAGCACTCCTGATCATATAGGCTTACCATCCCGTTGAATGCTATCTTATAAAGTTTTTTCTTAACTATGAATTCTTTACTAACAGTATATCCGTTACTGACTGCAACCTGTTTAAATAAAATTCAGTTCTGTTTTGTAATTTTTTGTTGATAGTGGAACATTTAAAGTTCTATATTACGCACGAATTGAACGCCGATGTCATATCATGAGAATTTGATGATTGAATTTAATGAAGAACTGTATCGGCGTGCGAGTTGATACATTTATCATCCTCTAATTCGTCGGGTCGAGAATTACCCCGGGTTGGTAGGTGCTTGAATGATAATGACTAATGAGCTGTAGGTACCTATTATGTCTGGGGCCGAAATTTCTGGCAAGATTATTTGATCTTTAATTCCTAGCAAATACCTGACACAATATGGTGTCGATACTTCCGCCGCTCTGTTGATGATTATTAATAAATAAAATAATCACTAAGTGCCTATCAGTGCCTGAAAAGCGAGTAATTAAATCAACATATTATTATTGATGCTAATGAAGATATCGTTGACTTAATGGGTGGGTAAGCATTTGTTTTCCGAAAGTATGCATATAAAATTCAGTCAATAACGAATATGAATAACGATAACCTATTGTCAGAAACGTTTTTATTATGTTTGATGGGAGAAAAATTGAAAAATTTCAATATATTATAAGGTATCTTAATAAATTTTTTGAAGGTTTTTAGTACGGAAGCATTGTATGTCCCGTGGAAAAGTTAATGAAGGGAACATGCAAGTGGTATCGTTTTATCAGAAAAATGATATAGTTCAATAATTTATGCGGTGACACTGTCACAGATGTTGCGTTTGTTTGGAATGTGTCAAACAAGATGACCGCCATAGCAATATAATGTGCCCTGTCGTCACTGCTATTCAACCAATTTTAATTTTGTTTAGCTTGTTAGAAAGGTAATGTAGAGAGGTAAACAACATATTTTTGGAAGTATGTATTGCGAAAAAACAATATTTTGGTTACGGGTTGGATTTGAACTGAACAAATTGAATAATATTGTTGGTATTACCTTATTTTAATCAAGAGAAAATATGGTCTACGTTATATTATTTTATATATATAATATTACAAATCAGCCTCATCACTATCATTTTCATCACTATCTCCATCGGCAAAATCAGGTGGATAGGTACATATTATCCCGAGTTGAATGGTCCACATTACAACTACACATTTCTGTGCAAGGCATATTGTTTGCTAAACATTTACATGGTGATGAGCATCGATTTTTGAGACACGAACATTTAATTAGTTGAAGATGAGACTCTGGAGCACATGGTTCTCCAGATATGACGGGGGTAAGCATCACTCCCTCTTCGAAACACCAGCATTGTTCAACTGCATTAGAGATGACTGCATTTGCTTTATCATCTTTTGACCACACAAATGCTTGAAGGTTAGCTGTCTTAATTGCGGGTACAAGGGAACCTCTAGTGGGGGTAACTTATCTCCAAGGGCTTGTTTCGCAGTAAACATTGACCACTGTAATTCTGCAAGTGATCTTGTTGTAGTGCTTACTTTATAAACCCGACAAATAAATATTTCCAGCTGATACAAAACATCATCAGGTAGTTACTAATTCACTGGTACCAAGTTTCTGCAAGGCAGTGAGTTTTGCTTTACTCGCTGAAATAAATGACTTGCACATCAGAAATGTGCAGTTTTAATGCGGACCATTCAACTTGTGATAATTTGTATCCACCTGATTTTGTCAACGGAGATAGTGATGAAGATGATAGTGATGAAGCCGATTTGTAATTTTATTAAAATTTATGTGCAAATATAATTACTTAATTTTCTTTAAATACCTAAACTAATATAACGTAGACCGAGCGATAACAGAAAAATGTTATAAACAAATTCAGAAAGCTAAGAACTACAGACAAGCTCACTAGAGCTTTGAAGATCTTAGACTTTCATTTATATGATATCTTCTATATTTACTCATGCTTTGTATTTAAAATACCATTGTTTTTATTGTATCATTTGGTATGAATAAATATTATAAATAAAATAAAAAAAGTAGACCATATTTTCTTTCGATAAAAAAAAGGTAACACCGAATGTAATACCCAATGACATCTTAACACAGATAGACAACGCATCTCATTCATAAACTGATGCTTGTTGTGATGACAAGACCCCCCCCCCCCCCCCCCCCCCCCCCCCCCCCCCCCATAGACCAGGAGAGGTGAACAGCTCGCGAGGAGTCATGGTGGATATGCATCAGAGGTGTAAACAAAAACAAGACCCGTCTTCCCGTCTGAACCTGCACCCATCATTCACTCACTTGACCAAAATAATGAAGATATGCGCACAGGTGCAACTCGTTTACAACATATGCCCCTAACTCATATGATATACATTTGCTGGGTGCGTTAACATGCTAATCGCGCGTGTTCCGCTTGTTTCACAAAACCTGCGTTGCCACTAGTCGTTTTTAGTCTTGGTAGCTTGAGATTTTTGAAAGCAAAGTCATATCAGGATAAAACCAATCCGTAACAATTTGGCAACCTATAATTGGAGGGGATAAACCAGAGGTGGATCTAAAAACATGTTGTTTTCCTGTTTACATTATCTTTTAAAAGCTAAGAAAAATTAAAATTGGTTAAATAGCAGCGACAATAGGGCACATTGTTTATATTGCTAAGGCGGCCATCTTGATTGCCGCACTCTGAACAAACGCAACATCTGTGACGGTGTCACCATACAAATTATTGAACTACATCATTTTTCTGATAAAATGACACCACTGGCCCTTCATGAAGATTGCCACGGGGAGCTATTTTTGTACATTGTGCTCCTGAACGTTGAAGGGGATTTTACAATGGAGTTTCATGTCTATCAAATTAGGTTTTTGGTTGCGATCCATAATGTGCCGGAACTCTGTTGAGAGAATTAAAAATGTAATTTACTAGATTTCTGATGTGTTATCATATTAACCATTTGTCTGTGCTATTTTAATCGACCATCGATACCGCTTTTACTTATGGTACGGTGGTATTTCTGTATAACAAATTTGGATGCGATCCATGTGTCGGAACACAGTTAAAAAAATTAGAAAAAATCAATAATTCTTCATATTGTTGCGTATAGATAAAAGAATTTTCCAAAATATATAATTTTACTTAAATCGATCGATAAGCACGACACAAGAAATTCTGTAACACTGCCCCCTTCCTCAGCTGTTCACCCCGAACAGCTTCTCCTGATCGCGTCTAAGTAGGTATATTATTGTCTCTGTCCTATACACCATTTATTATCTTTAGGATAGTTTGGTCCTTTACACAGTCTTTGTAATTTCAGGCTTAATCCCTCCTTTCGCTGTGGCTGATACAATACGTCGTCGCATTCATTGCAGGTGTACAATCATTACTGTTTGTCGAGAGTCATCTTCATTCTATCACTGCTTAAACGTGGTTCAAGGCGAAATTGTGAACCACTTTAATTCTGTTCTGGATATACTTTGGACTCAAAATGCCTCCCGTGATCGGTATGAAATGGGTACCCCGTGTCTGACTGTCATATTTTTAATTATTGCTTCACCAACTGTTAACACTTCTTGATTGAGGATCGAAACTACTGGCTACTTTGAGATATAATCCAAGGCAACCATGAGGTACTGGATTTTCGACTCTGTTGTAGAAAAAAGATTTGCGATATCTACCGCAATTCTCTCCCAGGAGAAACCAAACAATGATTGCTCCTCGATCGCATCTGTTGCATCATTATTTGATGTGCCTACGACAGCTGATCAAGTAATATCGACCTCCATGCCAACTTCCTCTTGACTACGAAGTGTCTATCGCTCCGACTAGTCCGACTACTGTGTTGTGTAGTGTAGTTCACGTAACACTCTATCTACCATGGTCAGTGGCTCCGCAACCTGACATACTAGGCAATTCCCATCAGAACACAACCAGAATTTTTGGCAGCCTGCTTTTCCTCTGGCAGCATTTGTAGGAATTGTCAATACATGGTCTTCGTGATAGTTTGCATGAATTCTTGTTTTGCAATATTTGATTTGAGAGTCATACATTTGTATTTTTTTCTGAAATAAGCAGCCACTGCAAGGCATAATGGTCGGTCCTACCTAGGAACTTCCGTTTATAGAGAAAATAGTCGCGATGTTCAGTGGACCTTGGTTGGTTAGATTAAGACGAGGTCAGGCGTACTCGTGTCCCGATTTGCACTGCAGCCTCAAGGCTTATTGTTCTACCCCTTGTCTTGCTTACGCAGCTTCCGTCCCTTTGATGAGATCTAGCAATTTGCTGGTAAATTTTTCATAAATTGTGTCTTCTGCGAGCCAGTGCTTCACAATCGTAGAATATATGTAAGGCGGTTTCCTCCTCCTCACCACACAGTCAACATATCGTTGGGTCATTGTAGACTCTCATTTTATGCATATGCGCGTTAAGATGGCATTGTCCTGTTAGTAGTCCTACCACCCGTCTTACCTGAGTACGCGTCAGTGTCAGTACTTCAGCTGTAAACATCTTTGAGGGGTTTCCAATTATTCCCTTTGAGTGTCTTGCAGGCTCAGGTGTGGACCGCCAATAGTCGAGGTTTGATGGGTCGACCACCTTTCAACTGCCGTCTTTATAACCTGCTTCGATATCCCAAATGCGGGTTCTGGTCTTGTGTAGGATGCAGCTGCGCCCGCTCTGGCCAGTTCGTCAGCCTTTTCATTGCCTTCTATCCCCAAATGCCCAGGAACCCACAGGAGCCTTATCCTGTTATTCCTTGACGACAGAGCTTCCAGGTCGTGTAGGCATTCCATCGTTATTTTCGAAGTAAATCGATGTGAGTTCAGAGCTTTTAGCCTGACTGTCTGAGAGAATACTTATGTTCTGGTTGTTATAACCCAGTCTTAGAATCTCTTGTGCGCATGCTTGAAATTCATGAATTTCTGCCTGGTAAACTGTGGCAATAAACCCCAGAGGGAAGCTTCGTTCTGATCTTGGTCTTTCTCCATATACGTTAACGTGAGCGTCAGCTCCATCCGCTGTTTTGGAGCCATCTGTATACCGGACCAGGCCTCTTCTTATTAAATGAGGCGTTCTTTCCTGCCATATGCTGGGATCGCATATGACTTTGAATGGTTTTTCAAACCTAAGGGTTTACCACCATTTGATTTGCATTTCCACTATATTATCGTCCATTAGGTCGATATCATTTATGTGGCCGTAGTTGCCTGGTGTTTCTTTCCATGCCCCAGCAGCCCTCATACGGTGTGCATTAACTATGGCTGCCATTTGTGTGTGTGTGAACATTGAGAAGAGCTAGCCCCAGAATTGCTTCCAGCGCTGCAGTGGGTGTGGTCTTCATACCCCCGGTGATGCACAGCATGCCAGTCTCTGAAGGCTGTTCAGTTTATTGACCGTCGTTAATTGTTGTGCTTTTGTCTACCATATTGCAGCTTCGTATACAACTATGGGCATGATAACCGTCGCATACAGCCATAACATCATCCTTGGTCTCAGACCTCATGTTGTCTCAGGGCTATTTCTTTGCCGCTGCTTCACATGATTTCCCTGGTTGGTAGGCATGTTATAGTTTGCATGGGAGAATTGCAAAAGCGCCTCATCTCTTAAGTGCCTATCTATAAGTTTCTCCATCAGGAAGGTTGGAAGGCTGATGGATTGATATGATTTCGCTTCCGTGTATGTTTCCTGTCAGGGTTTTGGGAGGAAGACTGCTTTCCTGGCAGATAGCCCATGGCAATGCATGCTGGGAAGATACTGCAAAGATGTGGGGTCAGTATGTCTAGTCCCTGCTGCAGAAAAGCCGGATAGATTCCATCAGGCCCCGGTGACTTGTAGGGTTCAAATGTGCTGACTGCCCATTTGATTTTGTCGTGACTGGTGATCACAGCTGCTACTCTCATCATTCCTTCTCGCCCTGTTCGGCAGGTTTATTTCTGGTAGGCGATCTTCTGGTTGCTGTATTCTTGATCCTGCAAGGTTCACTTGAACGAGCGCCTCCAGCGTCTCTTTACCAATTATCGTGAACTTCCCTAGTTGATCTTACTACTACCAGAAGCTTCTTCCGGGTGACACAATAATTTCTGTTGTTATCCGATCTCCACTTCTTCGCCATCTTAAACTTGAGTGAAAACAGGTCGTTTTCGTCTTCGCACTTCGAGTTCTAGCGAAAACGTTCGACAGGTGTTCTTCTGGCCAATCGCCAATCATGCAAGTCTCTAAATTTGGAGGCACGGCAAATCATATTGTCTTATATTTATGGAGGGAAATTTGAACATGTATGTAAGGGAGGGAAAAATGAAATATCAACTTATTTAAAAATAAAATAATTTAAAACAAAACTTTTGCTAAAATTCAATCTCATGGGACAAAATGATATACATAGGTATAAATAGAACCAAGAGTATTTTATGTCCATGAAAACGTCACTATTGCAGCATTTATTAGAAATAGTATATTGTAGACCTAGGCGGTAATGTGACATTTTTCCAGGCTGAAAGAAGAAATGTACAGGCGAGCCCGGAGACTTCTTGAAGCCTGGAAAAATCACTTTACCGGCAAGGTTTACACTTTATTTTTCTTCGCTAATAACATGTTTTTTATATCCCTTGTCTTTTTATTGAATTTGATGTGATGACATCAAATTCAAGTTCAAACTTTCATAACGCCCTCGTTTTGTGACAAATATTGCCTGTCACTCTTGTCTGTCAACTTTTTGCAGAAATCTATATTAGATGGTAATTTCCATTTAAAAATTTCGTTCATGAATAACTTCTGCTACTAGAATTTTATTAGGTAGATAATAATTAAAACGAATATGGCTTTTTCTGAATTGAAATTTGATCAAAATCGCAAAAAAATAAACTTTTTTCAAAATTTATTATGTGGCGCCAAAATTAAAAAATAATTTTCTTGCCTAGCCATTTTAGAATGTTTTCCAGGGCTAGCCTCAGAAACGCCTACTTTCTCGTCCCTATAGAGGCAGTAAAATTCAATTTTCTCATAGAGTTGGAAGAAAAAGCTTTTTAGATCAGATGAATCGATTCGTCAAGATCAGTGTTATAGAAAGTTCCAGTTCCGTTGAACCTTTTCAAATGTTTTCTTTTTATTTTGGGGTTTTTGTTCAAAGTAAGAAAGTTAACAGATAGTAATAATTTTTCAAACCTCAAATTATACCATTAAAATATTTTTCTTCCATGTGATCTACAATTCGGAAAATCCACAAATAAACATTTTTTTCTACTACCGTGCGTAAAGTACTCACTTTACGCACTATTCAGAAGACGTAAAATTTCACTTCATGCACTGGTGCGTAAAGTAATTTGCTTCACACACTAGTGCGTAAAGTAATGTCACTGACAGATGTTGACACTGTCAATTTAGTATTTTTCTGGTAAATTACTTCACGCACTAATGCGTAAACTGAAAATACTTTACGCACTAGTGCGTGAACTATTTGTCTAAGTTTATTTTTTTTACACATATTTGATTGGTAGTAGAAAAAATTTTGTATACAATACGTGCGTAAAGCACCTTTTTTAACTCATGTGATTGTCGCACTCGCCTTCGGCTCGTGCGTCAAAATTCACATTCGTGAAAAATGTTCACTTTACACACTTGTTGTATAAATAACTATTTTAATGGTTCGAATTAAATTGACAACCAGCTTCTAACTTCTTAAGTTTAAGGAAATATATAGGTAAAGAAACTAGGTTTGTGTTGTAAATTAGAACATTTCTCAGTATAGGTTCCGCGAAACTGAGAGTAATCGAATGTAGAAAAACATAATTACCAAAAAATTTTTAGTTGTGGCTTTGTAAAATTAGGTAGTGTGATGCTTTTTATAAAATACAGCCGAAAACATCCATTTTTGATATTTTTTTTTCCTTTTTTTTCAGAACAAAATGGAAGTTGGTGTTGTGAAGATTGCAGAGGACAGTGACTTCACTACACTAAAATACTTGGTGGATACCCATGAAGGTTGGAACCTGGAGTATGATACTGATGGAAAAGCTGATAAAACAAAGGTTAGTTATTTTATCCGTAGAAGATGGTGTGAACATGCCACAAAATACATTATTGGTATCTAATATATTGTTAATAAAGCGTATATCGAAGAGGGGAGATGGTTTGTGCCTTCGATTATCAAACGTAATATAGACCAATTACCACAGCCATTCGCCAGCCAACTTGTTTGGCCCTAAAATGAGATTACGTTCTTTTTCTCATACTGAAGATGAGCGTTCATATTTATTTATGCTTCTATTTATCACATTTGGTAAACAATGGCAAGGAACTTCTTGCCGATCGTGTCGTAACCCTGCTCCTCCAAATCAATATGGTCAAATTTTGCCCATAACAAAGTAATTTTTGTTCGTTAATTGAAAATAATGTTGCATTTTTGTGCCTTTTGATAGTAGGAAGCTAGGCAGGAAGTCTCTAAATTCTTTGGTTTCGAGTATATATTATAAGACCCGCACTATCTAGGTACATTTGTATGCTTAACCTCAGGTGTATTCATCTTCCGATAAACTTGCTGCTAACTTTCTACGAGACAAATATGTGTGATTATTTCCTTACCAGCAACCTAACTACAAGTTAACAATACTAGACATTGACAGTAACCCTTAATAAACAAGACTACTGCCCCTAGTGACGTATGGTAGAAAACAAAGGGTTGCTTTATAAGTATTTCTTCACCTATTCTGTGTAACTGATTAAAATAGGTACTTGTTGGGTGAAGACCTTAGTCCTTCCCTTTTGTTTTTTTTTCCTCACATCAGAAGTGGGATAAATACACTAAAAGTACCACATGTCTAATAATGCCGATAATATGTCAGCAGCAACAGTGGGTGGTAGACGTGTTGTTGTTGTCCTCTGATATTTTTCGGAAATATCAAGAGTTTAAGTGCTAATTAATTGTTAAAAAACATCAAATAGTACAAATACAAAGTATAAATTACCTTTAGTGATAACGGCAATTGTGATTTGTGGTCTCAAATTGTATTAAATAGTGTTCCTGAAATTCTTAACTTCCTAAAATATTTGTACGACGTGATAAGTACTAATTTTACAGTGTTGCCAAAATGCCCAAACCTAAGGAAAATTTGAAGTGTAATTTGTGCACCAAAAATGTAGGTGATGATCAACAAGCGTTGTTGTGTGACGTTTGTTACATCTGGAAGCATAGAGAGTGTCTCTCGATGACCCAGAGACAGTACAATCAACTTAGTAAGTCCGATGAAGCATGGATTTGTACCGATTGTAAAGATGCTAAGGTCGCAAAGAAAATTACGTTGGCTGATATAATGGAAAAACTAATAGGAATGGAAGAAAGGCTGGCAAACATGGAGAATAAGTTTGATTCTATACTTAAAAAACTTCAAGAGCAGGATGATATTAACAAGTCACTACGAACTGAACCAGATGAAATTAAGCAGGAGTTGAATAAAAGGGAACAGAAAGAGTTGGCTAATAATGTTGTGATACAAGGAGTACCTATGGAACGCAGTGAAAATTTGGTGGAAATTGTTAAGAAGGTTGGCGAAAAATTAGATGCGCCCATTCTTGGAAAATTTACTGCTTTCCGACTTGGAAAAGAAAACAAAAACTGTCATGTAAAAGTTATATTTGATAATAAGGAAGACAAAGAAAAAGTCATGAAATCAAGGAAAAAGTTGACCCTAGGTAGTAAAACCAACAAGACAACAAGATCTTTATAAACCATGATTTAACCTGGAGAAATTTGAAATTGTTTACATCTGCCAGGAATTTTAAGAAAGAGCAAAATTACAAATATTTGTGGATTAGTGGGGGAAACATCCTTCTAAGAAAAGATGAAAACACTCGAATTAGGATTGTTACAGACGAGAACCAACTCCAAGATTAGCATGAAATAAAAAATAAAATGAATGTAACCTACACTAATGTACAAAGTCTTAGAAACAAAATACTTAGATCAAGTTCAATGTTTTGTTCGTGAAAATAAATGTGACATTTTTGCTCTTGCAGAAACTTGGCTTGACGAAGTTGATGCATTTTTGTATGAAATAGACGGCTATAACTCAGTACATTGTTGCCGAAAAGGTAGGGGTGGAGGTATCGCAGTGTACATTAAAGACTCAATAAAATATAGACTGTTGGAGTGTTCTTCTCAAGATAGCACCTTGGAGTGGGTATGTGTTGGTGTAGGTGAATATGATGTAAAATTCACGGTTCTCTATAAGCCTCCTTCATATAGCAATGAAAAGTTTTTCTTGGATCTTGAGTCTATTTTAATTAAATATCCAAAAAAACACGTTCTGCTTGGAGACATTAATATAAATTTGTTGGAAACTACTAATATAACTAAAAATTATAAAGATTTGTTGAATATATGTAACTTTAAAATTAATAACACCATCTTGGACGAATTTGCAACTAGAATTACACCAAACAGCAAAACTTTGATTGATCATGTATTCTCTAGTTATTCTAATTTGGTACACTCTGTAAAAGTGAATGATAACTGTTTATCAGATCATAGATTTCTGGCATTTCAAATCAATGATAAAATAAGAACTTATACACCAAAAGTGGAAAAAATTATTAAAAGTATCAATCATCAAAAGTTTATTTATTTGTTTCAACAACAAAAAACTATAAGCAATATCACTTCATTTGAGGATTTAATTAATTTAATTGCCGAATGCAAAGGTAATTCTTCATACTCAACCACTTTAAGAGTCAGAGAAAATAACAATTGGATAAATAAAGGAATTTTAGATCTAATGAAAATACGTGATAAGGCTTATAAAATGAAAATTAAATTTCCCAACAACATACAATTTGCTAACGATTTTAATGCACTAAAAAACCAGGTAAACAATAAAATAAAAATAGCTAAAAATAGGTATTTCCGAACTAGTCTAGGAAAATTGCAAAGCAAGACAAGACAAGAAGTTGCCAAGCAAGACAAGAAATTATTCTGCAAGACTCTTGCAAGCTTGCAAGAAATCTTGCAAAAAAATGAAGTCTTCTTTTCTGCATATTTTTGAAGTAATTGTGGCAGTTAACAAAAAGATAAAAATGTCGCATGTCAGTTTGTAAAGTTTAAGGCATTTTTCTGCGACAAAACGTTTTGAAATTGTAGTTTCGAAACACTCGAACAGATGTCAGTTTCTAACAGCTCTTGCAGCAAGTATGGCTGGAAAATTTTTGGTCATGATGGACAACGTCACTGCACACACAAAATTGAATTTAAGCTCAATGTGAAGGCCTTTTCGTTTTCAACCATCAAAGAATCAAGTCGATGTTTTTTTAAGGTTTGTTAGCATTGTAGTGCATAAAATAGGCTCCTTGCATCAAATTTTTTTATTGCTGATTTCGATAGTCCCTGAAAAATAAGTTAACACATGTTTTTTCTTTTTCTTCTTAGTCAAAAATTGACGGAGATATAACACTATGAAATCTGCCTATGACGTCACTTATCTAATAAATTAGTGACGTTGCACATGCTTAGTATATCTATATAAGGTACCTGACCCAAATAAGGCCATGTACCTAATAAGGCCAGTGCCCTTTATTGTTTAATATTGAATCCTATTTTCAAAAATTACAATATTTTAAAAAAAGATATCTATAATGCGAATCAAAAATCATTGCAAGTGTTCCTAGGAACTCGTTATATGTCGAAAAATAGTCAACCACATATTTCATATGTCACGTTATAACTTTGAGGCTGGAACTTAATTAATTTATACACGTGTTTATGAAATGAATAAAGCGATTGTAATTTTTTAACAGACATTTATGTATTGAGAAAGCTACAGAGTAAGTACAGAATAATATCTTTGCTAGATTTCCAGTTACAGACTTTTTTTTTATCAATGTAACATGTTCCTAATAAGGCCATACGAAAAATGTCCATTTGGGCTCACATCACAGTGGTTTTTTTAAAAAATGTGTCATATATTACCCAAGTGATGTGTTTTGGAAGGCCTGAATTCTAACCAACCAAGAGAAGCTGCGGTTCATTTGTCCTACTTGTATGTAGACCTATTTGGATCACCATCCCAGGACTTAGAATTATTGTTTTTTTAGAATGCAGTAAACGTTTAAGTTCTATTTTGTGTTCTATTTCTCAAATAATAGTATTTCTATAAATAATTGAGTTTATTTAAAAAAAAAATTTGATGGTGGCCCTATTAGGAGCAAAGTGATCCAAATAAGGCCAATGGTAAGCATTTTTGTTTTACGCAAAAACCACCACTTATATGAAAAAATAACTAAATTGGGGTTAATATTCCTGTAATACAAGCGAAACACTTCACATATAAGCTCGTGATTTTTGTTGGGTTTGGTGGATAATGTTTGAAAAAAAATAAAACTTCCTAACATGGCCTTATTTGGGACAGGTACCTTATACAAAACTTAATATTTGAATAACTTCGGAATAATAATATTTAGGCGAAATGAAAAAAAAGTAACGATTTTTTTTCGATTCTTTACAGTTTGCAATAAACAATAATCAATTTAATTTTCCATGCAAGTACCCTATAGTGATGTTAGAGCTGAAATTGTTTTAAAAGGGTTTTTGAAACTGTTTCCTCGAAAAAAAGCCTTTAAACCAGGAAAGATGGCAACCACGTTATCAATGACAATGACACCAATCATAATCTTAAGGGCCCCACAGACTATGATGAAACACGTCGCTCGTCGCTCCAAAACCGACGTGTGTGGTAGAAAACCGTCGTGTTTTGCTACCACACTCTTGCTATGACGTCACAAAACAATAATGCAAGAACAAGAAATTGCAAGAAATCTTGTTTGCAAGACAAGATTTTTTGCTGCAAGAGTCGGGCAAGACAAGAATGAATTTCATTTCTTGTCTTGCTTTGCAAGACAAGACAAGAATAGGCCCAGCAAGACAAGAAATCTTGTCTTGTGAAACACTAAACAGGACATTGTATAATAATTCCAGCCGGCATCGTCTTTAACACGTTGGCTGCCATGTGTATCATCCATGCTACACACAATCATATTTACC